TTCTTTACTTTAAAGTTAGTCAAATTAAAGAAAGTTTAATTTTGAACAATTCTAAAAGTTGGTTTTATTTGGGATGCAGGGACCAAGGAATTGAGTCATTATTAGGTGAAGTCAAAAATTTTAATTCTGCTAGAATCTCTTCCCTTATCCTTTGTTTTGTTGGCTTTACGATGGGTGGAGCATGGACAAGAGTTTAAGCCACACAACCAACATATCACGGTGAGACGTTTCCAAACAATTCATCAATCTTAGAACACTTTGTCCATACACCATGGGGAGTATGATGCGAGGACGAATTAGAATGCATGACACAAACTCTAAGCCTTCCATACCTTTATGAGTTAGATTAGTGCACGTCCTGGCACGTTACTGAGTTTGATTCTAATATGAATGAGAACACATAACGCAGTTGATGAATAAATATTCACATTGCAACACGTCACCTAAATTGTTACCTAGTTTATCTTCAAATACATTTCATTGGAATCTAGTTAGATTTTTAGTCTTAGTTACTTAGCACCACATTTACTCTCTTTTTTTTTTGTGAAACACGGTGCAAAAGCAGAAGCAGACCCTCACATATATGCACTTTTACTTATCCCTATAAATGCATGCACGCACTTTGTACCCTATAAACACCTATAAAGCATATTGAACTAAACCTGCAAATCTTAATCTCAAGATTGACAAACTTACCACAAAAGTCTTGTTGTTGGTGGACACGTTGTCTATTACTAAAAAATAACACCATTAAATCCTAATCTAAATCTAAAAGAATACGAGTATCCATATCAAATCGATAACTTAAATTCAGATGACATATTTTTTTATATTAAATAAAAAAAACTAACCAGCTAACGAAGTTTTGGGACGGGTGGACCTATTCCCCCAAGCTGGACCATCAAAATGGCATAGTTAATATTTTTGTTAGGCTTTGATGTGTAATCACCGTACATCAGACGTTGACCAATTATGTAAACTTGTACAGTTGTACTCGTACTACCACTAATATACCTTGCGTGGTCCTGCTATTGAAGCACGTCATCTTTTTATTTGTACTGGCACATGCGTTTGACAGCCTAACTTATCTAGAAATATGCCAACATGCATGAATGCACATATTACCCGTCACTGCAAACCAACATCTTCGGACGACCAACATTTGTGGGTATGGTTATTTCGTTTTTCAAATGTAATAACTTATCGATTAGTCGATAGTTTTATTATCAAATCAACCAGCGAACATGCTGATTACCCGTCACTGCAAACCAACATCTTCGGACGACCAACATTTGTGGGTATCGTCTCCATGCAATGCAAGAGGTTGTTGCTAGTCGCGAGCAATTGGAATTTCTGTCGGTGCCTTTTGCCTGGCAGGAATTTCACATGGATTCCTATTCTGGCAATTCTGCATTTCTGCTTTGCTTGGCCACACGATGGAATTGATTGAAGGCGACTGAACAGTTCCACACCTTTCCACCTACTACCATATAAAAATATCTAAAGCGAGAAGTTACAATTTCTGATAACAGTTACTACTTCCAGTAGAAGTCATTAATTTACCCACAGCCTATGGATATGTTTAGCAAGTAGGAACACACTTGTTGGATGGAAAAGGCATGGGTGAAACTGAACGCACTGCACACAAGGCTACAGCTTGTTCGGCTGGCCACAATCGACTGTATGGCTAGCTTTTTTTTTTCCAGCCGAAGCCGTGTTTTTCTCACAACAAACAAGTTGCTACAATATTTTCCAATTGCTACAGTATCACGTTAATGCCAGCCGAACAAGCTCCTAGGCAGCCTGGGTAAAACAAAACAGACATAAGTTGTCAGTCGCAAAACTCCACGCTTGGAATTTGGAAACCGAATGTGAGACTGAACTCACAAAAATCTCCCTCCCGTCACACCGTGGCGTGTGGCCACACGTTCCAGTCCAGCGTGGGATTAAGCCCAGTTGATGGAGTACGTGCGGCCGCCTTTATTCCTTCTCGCAGTTTCCTGGTGAGCCTATGAATGCGAGTGACGTCCCTTGGTCTCCAAGCATACGTACCGTTGTCCACTGCCCGCCCGCTGGGACCCCGCCATTAGTGCGACGCAACACACAACCGAAACGATCTAGGAGCATTCCAAAGCTCCAACGGAACCGATCGCTTGGGGATTGGGATTGGGACGGATTTTGGAGGCTCGGACTGCAGCCAGCGCCAGTCGCGAGACCACGACCGTCGGTCCGTCGCCCACTGGCGCCCGCCGCGTGGTTCCGAGGCCACCAGGCCGTCGGATGGGCACAGGAATAAGAGGGCGACACGCAAACGGACGGGACAGACGGCGGAGGGAGGATTTGGATTCGCCCTCGCCGGCTCGCCGCTCGCTACCCTCCTCCTCCTCTGCGTACAGTACTCCGCTGCTCCAGCTCGCGGAATCCGAGGTTGAAATGAAACAAATCCAATCCAATCCCCGCCTAAACCCGACAAGGGTTTGTCGCCATCCCCGCGTCCGGTCGCCCGGATGGACGGCCCAGATTACACGGGGAGTATCTTGATTCACACTACTACGACTCGTGAGCAGAGCAGGAGGATTCTGTGAGCTGATTAGTCTAGTGCTTCAATAGTCCGTGCAGCATTACGGGAAGACACGCTGTCATGAGGCTGCTCCTCGTGATCCTGGCAAAAGGCCGTGCGCGGGGGCCCACACGTCAGGCCCAGGTACCCGGATGGAACCAACCGGGCCGCGCGCGCATCGACATCGCATTCGCATCGCATCTACTCGTAGTCACAAACCCGAGCTGGCTGCGGTACTTTCCCCCCGGCCTCACTCTCAGTCTCGGCGCCCGGGTGGGCCCCGCGTCCAGGCCCTTTGGGGGCATCTGCGGCCGCAGCCATTGGATCCATCAAAAGAGGGAGAGAGAACTGCAGCGGATAGGAGTACAGCACAGCTGATTGATTGTTTTTTTTCCAACCCCACTTTATTACCGTGCTTTATTATCTCTCCCCTGTTTCTTCTTCTTCAGTCTTCACTTCCTTTCAATGTGCTGTGAGTGGAATTCCTGATGCGCTCATGTGCACTGTTCATTGATCTTTTGCCAAGCCACACGCTGGCATGCAAGAGCACACGTAGATAACCTTGATGACCTCATATTAGCTCAATCAATTTCACTTAATAGCTATACACTCCAGCTAGCGGCGACATCTGCCGGGCGGTACGAGCCAAGATCTTCTCAAGCTGGTGCTACCTCACCTGCCAGCCATCCTTTTCATTTGTTGCGGGATTTGCAGCCTCTGTCACAACAACCCATCATTTCTTCTCTTTAATAAATAAATAAATAAACAACAACCCATCATTTTCTTGCTGCAACCTAAAACAGGAGCCCCAGATCCCCTGGTTCGCAAGGAAAAAGGTTGGTTGTGTTTTAGGTATTCATTTATTACGATGCCCGACTAAACATGTGGGGTGACAAAGATTATTAGGAAAGCGAGTGCTCGTGAATTCTGTGATCCAACTGCCGTTGAACTTCTCGATTTCCCATCCAATCGCCCGTGCTAACAAAAGAGCCTGGATTAAGCAACACGGAGAAAGTATCTTAAGCTCTGTTTAGTTGCACCCCAAAATACCAAATTTTTCAAGATTTCCCGTCACATCGAATTTTTGGACGCATACATGAAGCATTAAATATAAATAAAAAATAAAACTAATTACACAGTTTAGACGAAATTCACGAAACAAATCTTTTAAACCTAATTAGACTATGATTGAACACTAATTGTCAAATAACAACGAAATGCTATAATAACGTTTTGCCAAAAAATTTGCCATCCAAACTGGCCCTTAACATATCACTATCTGATAGAATGATGAATACAATAATACGGTGATATTGCCGCCGGAAGAACTGGGTACGGACGCTGCAGGGGTCATGCGAGCTGGGAAAAAAAAGTGTCACGAGGAGTAAAGACGGCCGATTTTTTAAAGCTCTGGAAAGGAGTTTGGTGCTGTGATCCTCTGGAGCATCATGAATTTTATATGGAGTTGTTTATCTCTCTCTCCTCCACCAGCAAGCAAAGGCAGCGGACTGAGTCTCTCTCTCTCTCTCATGTCATGAAGAGTCACAATCCCCCTCCGGACGGAGTCTTTCTACTACTGCCACCCAAGGAAACACGGAGATAATCAATCATGACACGAAAATCAGCTGATACTACTTTGTTTCGATAAATACTAATGGAACAGCTTGGTTATCACGGCTGATCGATAATGATAATATAGTTAGTTCCGGAGAGGAAAAAATTCTGATGGAGACAGCAGCAGGTGGGGAGGGAGGGAGGAAAAAACAAGTGTCTGTCTATTTTATTCTATTTCGATTTATTTTGATGAGGGAGGGGGGCGTAGAGAGAGAGAGAGAGCGAGAGATGGATGGGGATAAGTGGGCGAGGAGGACTGAGGAGGAAGGATCAGCAGAGGAGAGAGAGAATAAAAAGACCAGATGTCAACAAATCTGCCTGTCCTTGCACGTAGTTTAGAAGGTCGTTCCATTCCCTTCCTCAGAGGAGAGAGAAAGCGAGCGAGCGAGCGAGCGAGAGGGAGGCAGCAGGCAACGCCGCCCCGCAGAGGAGAGAGAAAGCAAGAGAGAGGGAGGGCACATAACCAAACAACACCCATCCAAAACCCCCAAAAGGAGGAAAAAAAGGAGAGAGAAAACCACGCAGTCGTTTGTTCAGACAAAACAAGAACAAGAACCCACCAGTACGCACTTCCTCCTCCTCCTCTCTCTCTCCTCCTCCCTCTCTCCCTCCCTTCCTCCGCCAGTCCCGCCCCCCTGGCCCATCAGATCCAATTCCTTCCCCGACCCCCATCCCGGATCCGCCGCAATTCCTTCGTGCGTCGAGCTCGATTGCTCCCTGCCCGTGGAATTTGCTCCTTTTTCCCGCAAGAATCCCACCTTGGCCGGCGACTTGGAGGGGGGACTTGCCAAGGTTGGGGGGCGCTCCTGCTGGGCGTAACGGGGCCATGGGCGTGCTGCTGCCAGCTAGGCTGTTCGTGCGCCGGATACTCAGGGTCGTCAGGCTCAATCCGCTGCAGCGCAGCGCCGCCAAGCGTCGGTGAGGTGAAATTTTTACTCCGCAGGTTTCTTCTGCAAGCGTTCTAGCTCGGTGGTTGTGAAAAAGACGCAGCTTTTCTGCCTTTTTCTCTTCTTCTTTGAGCCGTCCAAGGTTCCGATTTTTTCTTTTCTTTTCTGGGAATTGGGTTTCTGCTGCAATCGGTTCGTGTGTCAAATTGGGGTTCGATTGACGGCAGGGAGCTGATAATTGCTTCTAAACCTTCGCAGCCTTTCGGTTTCCATGTTTGGTAATGATGATAGGGCGGTTGAGGGAACTGGTTCTTAGGATTTATCAAGCGCGTTCAACTGTCGGGGGTTGACTTGTCTTCTCTGCTTCAGTTCCTTCCTGTCTCGCGAGTTGACATCCAAACAGCTGTACATGCATATATTCTTTTTCGTTGTCTTGGGGCCTTCTGTCCTGTTTCGTTTGATCTTCTGTATGTTTGCTTGATTATGGAAATGGGTGGTGTGTTTCGATCTTGCATTGGGCATCTTGTTTCTTAGATCTTTTACCTTACTCACTGCAGTGTCTTAATCATTTAATGGGCAGGTGATTTCTCGTGAACGCATTCAGCACAGCAAGTTACCATTGGCTGCTCGTCCAGTTGAGCAGGTCGAGCTATCCATTTAGCTCGACACAGTGAGGAACTGAAGATACGCATTGTGATTGCTTGTCTCTCAAACATCCTGCTGGTGTGCTGTGCTGTGAAGGTCACATAATCCACTTGGCTATATGCCGGGGTGGGTAATGTGAATCGGGGCTTGATAAATGCAGGCTTGTTAACTTGGTAATTAGTCAATGAAACCCAAATTCTTTAATGACTTCTTTTGGCCATGTTAGCCTCAGTTTGATGTAATGCAGCGGGCCATTTGTGCTCCCTTCCAAAAGTTTCATATCTCGTTGCTTATTAGAGCGTCGTTTTCAGATGGCAATATATAGCTGAACATCTTCAAACTGTTTACATAATACGTCTGCATTGTTGTTCTGCTGATGCCAGTAGAATTAACAATTAACAAGTAGTATCTGTTCATTACTGAGTTCATGTTCTAGTGCCCTTTGTAATTGGCAATTGAATTGCAATTGGAGTTAGCCGTCATGCTTGTAACTGAAATGTGCAAACTGCCACAATAAAGTTGTGACATCCAGCTGACTGAAAGTTTGTCTTTTCATGCATATACTCTCCGTAATCATCACTAAATTTATCAGGAGGAGTTGGTGTTCTTGTAAGCTGCCAATTTCTTTGTTTCTTCTGTCAACCAATGAATAATGCACGCTTGTCTTTTTCCACAATTAGGCCAATATTGCAGAATCTTTTCTGTGATCTATTTTATTTATTTTATTATTCAATTGAGGGTTTGATTCACTGGTCTCTTGCACAGTTTTGCAACAAGAATGGGGGCAAAAGTAGAAGGGGAAAGCTATATGCCTGGATATTATGCCACGGGGGATCTCAACGTGGAAGCAAATGGTAGGTGGTCTCCATACTATGAGGAGATGACATCAAATGGCCAGTTATGCAATGGCTTCACAACAAAACCAACAAATGGTTATTCGGAATTTGACAAAGAAATACTCAAGCATCAAATGCTTGAACATGAAGCTGTGTTTAGACAACAGGTGAGTTTACCAAAATTCTAAGCAACACAGCACAGCATATCATAATTAATTTTTCTTATCATTTGTTTTTTTTTTCTGTCAAGCCTCACAACCCACTCACTATTCAGGTGTATGAACTGCACCGAGTTTACAAAATACAGAAGGATATGATGAACCAACATCAAAGCAAAGAGGTATATTCATACCCAACTTTGGCAGTTGCATCACATACAAATTCACCGTCACAAGTGCCACCAAATGGTGCAAAGATGATGTGGCAGATGCCAGTTCCTCCATTGTCCAGAACATACAGGAAAGCTGTTGGAGAGCATAATGATACAAACCAGTCCTCCATGAAGTTCCTTAGAGAAGGCAGCGTGCAGTCCTCTCCAAATGGATTTCTATCAAGTGATGCTGGTCCAAGAAGCAGACAAGGCACTTTTGACCTTCAACTTCCAGCTGATCATTATATAGATGACGATGACACGTCAGATAACAAGCCCATAGATTTCCTTGGTTTGGCATCAGAAACAAAACCCCGGAATGATGCTGAGCTTACATTAGTTAGTGCTGAAGGCTTGGGCAAGTTCAGTGATAATAGTTCATCCTCAGGTTTGCGGACTACAAATAATCTTGGAATCCGGCAAGTTACCGACCTGAATGAATCAAATACTGGCTTCTACATGGGTAGAGCAAATGGATCAGTTTCCAGAGGCCTTCCGCATACCCTCGAGACCTCGTGGCACCAACCAATATTGAGATCAAACACAACTAATTTCAGTTTCAGTAAAGAATACTCCAAAGAAAAGCACACAGATGAAGGCACAAGCTCAAATTTCTTTGACACAAGTGCGAAAATAACACACGAGGACAAACCATCAATCAATAAAGGTAACAATAAGGTTCACTTAAAACACCTTTGTTTGTTTTAGGCATACATTACTGGCTGCAGAGTTCGTTTCATGGTCTAGTTCTGTTAATACTTAATATGTAGTTACCATATTTGTCATCTATGAGACAGTTTGCTGTAAAAGCATATGAGTTCGCTGTGGTTTTGGGAGGAAAATTGGTTTACCTGTACTGTGACTCATACATTGTTGGTAACATGGTTAACGAATGCAATAACATGCAAATTGTATCTTTTTACTATTTACCTTAACCATGCCAGTTCTTTTATTTGGTTCTGGGCATCTTTTTATTCTTCCTTGCTGTAATCTACTGGATTGCAGCATGAACGTCCTCATGGGTCTTAGCTTATCTTTTCACTGCCAATGGTGGCCTGTGAGATGTGTACTGTCAAATCTGGAATATACTATGTTGCAGGCTTCTCTAGTCCGTATTTGGCTCCATTCTGTACTAGAATGCGTACTCATTTCTCTGTGGTCTTCTGGTTTACCAAATCATATTACAGAACAGTTCTGTGTATTTTGTGTTTCAGTACTTTGTTCACTGAAATTTGTAATCCCTAGTTTCTTTCTCACTCGTTAATTAACTTGCCTTTTCCCCTCAAGAAAGTGGGAGGAAAAAGTAAGACAAGGGTAATGCTGGACTACAGCTTGTGTCTTTCCTTTTATGCATGGTCTTGGTAATGTCATGCTGAGAGCTTAACTAGTTCTGTTGATCTTTCTTATAGCTTTCACATTCTTCCACTGCACCTGTATTTTCAGTTATCTTAGTCCTGTCTTATAATCGTTCTCTCTTTCTTCAACCCTTCAGGTAAACAAGTCAGCAGTATAACTTTTTTAGCACCCAGATATAATGATGCTGATCCTCCAAAATACTTCAAAGCTGCTGATGGGAGGCCTGCCAGTTATAACCAATTTCTTTACCAAGGTCAGAATAGTTCAGTTGGATGGATTGCTCGAAGTTCTGTGGAACCTTCTGTTATCAATAATTTTGCTAGAGTTGACCGTCCACATCATTCGAATATGGGTACATTTACAGACCCCATCTCTATTCCTCAAATAGACAATCCTTCAATTGTCTCCCCGATGGGTTCTTGCACAGCAGATCCAAGGAGCAGCGTTATCAATAATCCTGCTTTAATTCCAAAATTCAATGGATCGTCAGCTGTGAATTCGTACACCAGTCTTAGTGCTGTGACACAGAGCATTGGAACTTCAATGCCAAAGCTGAAAAATGTGGATAACTTAGATAAACGCTATCCTGGTTTTCCACTTGATTCGTTTTCTGTGTCCCGCTCACTACATCAGGTTGCAATTTCAAGTAACCTGGAGCAGAAGAACTCCCAGAAGTTGGAAGATTCAGATCAACAGTCCCATGGCAAGGGTATGAAGAACTTCAATTTGAATGAGACACTGTCAGATTGTCAGGAAGATGGTCTTGTAGAACAAGATGGGAGATGTGCTGCCAGTTTTCAGCATGGTAAAGATGGGGGGTCAGTATTCGGGATTTCTGGGCTAAAAAATAAAGCTATGTCTGCTGATCCAACAGCTCTGGAGAAGTCAGGGAAGATTTTTGGCCATTCATTTGGAACTACTATGGAGCTGAAAAATATTAAAGACCAGAATGAACCAGCCATCACTATTCGAAATTTGTCAGATTCTGCTTCGACATCTCTTGGCTGTGGAATTAAGAAGGATGGGCCTTCAGAAGACATTGTCACTGGAACTCTGCTTGTTTGTATTAAAGCCCAAGCGGGTGCTACATGTTTACCTCTTTCATGCCAGAAGCATGTGCCTAAAGATGGACAAGCTGCTGAAGGAGTCTTCAAGAAAAGTGGCGCCCCCATCAGGAATTTCATTGATCTCAATGATGATGTACCAAACGATGACAATTCTGAGGAATCAGTAGTGTCACATGAATGCCAGGTGGAACCTTCACGGAACAACCTTCCTAAACGAGCATTTGTGATTGATTTAGAGGTGCCGGCTTGTGAAGAGGATGCTGCATGGGATTTTGATCAAGAAAGCGCACAGCCTAAACTCGATGCATGCCAGGAAGTTGATGACAGATCTGATACATCCGCTCTAGCTGCAGCTGAGAACATCATAGCGTTGGCAAGGAATATGCCAACAGCTGCAGAGGCATCTGATGATATGTTGCAGTGGTTTGCAGATCTCGCTGTATTAAACATCAATGACCTTGCTGAGCAAGTTGAACTCCAAGCTTGTACCAATGATTCCAGTAACGATGAGTCAGATTCATTTGAATCCTTGACACTGAAGCTGGAAGAGACCAAGATTGAGGAGTACTGGAGCAGGCCACTGGAACCTGAAATCACAACCGATGAACAAACAGTTTCAACTGCTCACCTTCTCACCAAGCCCAGAAGGGGCCAGCAAAGGAGACGACGGCAGAAGCGAGATTTCCAGAAAGATATCTTGCCTGGCCTTTCGTCACTTTCCCGGCCTGAAATCATAGAGGATGTCCAATTGCTCGAGGGGTTAGTCCAGGCTTCTGGTGGATCCTGGGAGTCCAGTTTAACTAGGCGAGGACGTTATGGTGGGCGGACTAGAGGTAGGAAACCTCGAAAAACTGTAGTAACTGTAATTGTAGAAGAGGAGGAGGTCGAGGTTAGCCCACCACTGCCGAAACCTGCTGGCACTGGGGACCTAGAAGCTGATGATAGGGGTATGATTGGATGGGGCAGAACAACAAGGCGGTGTCGCAGAACGAGATGTCCGTCAGGTAACAACATGGCTGCTGCTTCTTGAGAGACGGTACTGCCAGCAAGCATTGGACTTGATTAGGTACTGGGTGGTTCCGAATTGTTATAGAGACTCCGATGGATGGACTGGTATAAGGTGATCACAGTCATGAGTGTACATACTCTGTCGGCCTATTGGCCTCACCCCAACTTCATGCTTTTGGGTCGAAACATGGTTTACGTTCTTATAATAAGTTCCGTAAATTAGCTGGTAAAGACATTTCTGCGACAGCATTGTATTAAGCTGTTCCAGGTTATGAGGTCCGGTATAAATTCATCGTGAGAAAAACTGCAATGCCTGTAAACCACCTTGATCTCTGAAGAATAGCTCATCACATGTGCAACAAAAGGTGTGAATGAGTCTCCGAGTCTGTATTCTTTTTGTAGCTATATGCTCTGCCTAATTGGCTAGTATTCAGCATGCGAAATGCTAATTTAGTTTTATTTAGCCACCCAGCTCCCTGCAGAATCCGTGGATCTTGCCCATGTTGCGTCCCAGTGTTTTTGTTCCCTTACGACCAGCATATGCGTCTGCTATATATATGGCAAATGTTGTAATTGTTTAAATATTTGCCAAACTCCCATCGAGGGCATGTTTGGATCACTCCTCTAAACTTTAGAGCTGAAGTCTTCAAATATGTGGCTCTAAACTTTAGCTTATCTCACATTAAACCTTAAAACTAAGCTAAAGTGTTCTAAAGTTTTTAGAGTTCGAGAGCAATTTCAAGAGACACTATATCACTTATAAATGCTAGGAATATAGATTTTGGTGAAAAACTACCACCCAACAACTTTTCTAAATGGTTATTTAAATATAGCCATCTTCTATTCTGATTTTTTCGTTATCAAAAAATAGAAGACGATAATAGCTCTCTAGAGTACGCATGAGATATAGAAAAACCATTGGAGAGTGAAAAGATATAGAAAACGATTTTTATACAAATAAGTCTTCAAATAATAATTTAGAGTGGGATTTAGAAAGACTCTTGGAGATGCTCTAAAGAGGGTCCAAACATGCCATAAGTATTATAATTGAGAACTATCGGTAACTAATCTCACGGCTAATTATTATTTTTTAATTATTGTTTTTTTAGCAAAACTAATCATTGGTACCGGAGGCCCGGAACTACTGGGCCTAATCCGCTTCAATACTCGGCCCACGACGCAACGGGAGATAAGTTTTCCCCGTTCGAATTTCGGAGCCTTCCACTCCCCGGTTCTGCAGTTCGAACTACCCAGCTTGCCGAGGGGCCGCGCCGCGCTCGAGACCGAGATGGCGAGGCGGAGCCAGGCGGGCGACGCAACCGCAGGCGCAGCATCCCGGGTTCGGTTCGCGCCCACCTCCAACAACCTGCTCGTCTCCTCATGGGATTCGGTGAGAGCTCTCTCCCCGCCTCGCGGTTCCTTGCGGCTTAGGCATCCTCTCCTTGCCACTTCTGGTTGGGTCGAGTTTGAGGGAGATGGGAACAGTTCTAAAATTTATTTGAGGTTGCGGGGTTGTATTTTCAGTAAATCGCCCGAGGTTTAGCTCATTTCGGATTCCAATTTGGGCGCGCTCAGGTCGATTTGAAATTTTGGGGGAGATCGTTAGCGGTGTCTGATAGGGTTTTCCGTCCGATTCGTCGCAGGGGCTGCGGCTGTACGATGCCGACGAGGGCACGCTCCGGGTCAACGCGGAGTCGGAGGCGGCACTCCTCGACTGCTGCTTCGAGGATGAGTCTTCAGCGTTTTCTTGCGGCTCCGATGGAACTGTGAGAAGGTAAATTTAAAAACGGTTGCAATTCGTTTCTGGATTGTATCTTGAACTCGCATGCCCTTATAGCATTTCCATTTACTGTCTCTGGCTGCATGATAGCAGGAGTGAGAGTATGCTTTTTGTACTGATAGCCAAGTTCCACATTGTAATTCTGTGCATTACTGAGGCAAATAATGTAGAGTTAAATGCATGAGAGGTCCTTGAACTTGTGAATGGGTGTCGGTCCATGAACCTGCAAAATGCATTTCTAGATCCATAAACTTGATAAGTGGTGCATCGTAGGTCCAGATTGGACACGTGGGCGTTTCATCCAATTTGGCATTGCCACTGTGGCGGTGACAGTGTCTAATGCTTTTCCCTCATCTTTTTTTTTCATCCCCTCTTCTTTCTTCTCTGAAACTCGGAAACCTGCCGATGCAATTGGCCGTCAGCCGTCACCGCTGTAGCCTCCAGCGCCACTATTGCTGTCGTCGCCTCCTCTCGCGACCTCCTCGGCAACCTCCATAATCACCACTGGCGCCTCTCTCCTATGGGCCCCTCTGTGGAACCCATCTAACCGCATCGGCACCCTCGCGCGTTCCTCTTCAGTGTGCCCTACGCGGTGCACAACGGCTATGGACGACGACGACGACGGCAGCGAGGTCACGCTCGACTTCGCTTCAACAACCTCATTGGTCCATCCGCCCATCCTGCAGACGGGCTCCCTCGCCCCCGGGCTGCACGGCACTAGGCCGAACAACCGCACGTCAAAGTAAGGTCGCCGGCAAGAGCGTTGATGCGGTCACGAGCCCACGATCGGGGAAATCTTCGATGACAACAAGGCGTTCATGGAGTGCGTGGAGAATCCTCGACCTGGAGGCCGGAGTAGCGGTGGATCAGCCTGGCACCGGCACAGCGCGTGCTGGTTGACCGCCGGTGGGACGCCGAGCTTGTCAAGGAGCTCGGCAGCTCACCCCGTGCGACCTCTGGATCAAGGACCTGATCGCGCTCCCGTTCCAGTTCTTCAAGCAGATCGTGCAGGTGCTACCGCGGCAGGGCATGAAGGAGAACTATGTTAGCCCCGTCGTACTATTTTACGCGACCAATTTGGTGCTCTCCAAGAAAACTCACAAGTTCTGGGCGACCACGGCCCATGGACGAAGCCATCAACGGCGAGACCGACGCGAACAGGAGGGTCGCTGCGATCCTGGAGGGCATGATCGGGCAGTCGGGCTGCTCCGCTGCTCCCGGCCGATTCAGCAGCAGTGCCTGCGTGCGGTGCCAAACCTGTGGCGTTCTACTTCGCTCGCTCGTGCAGTTCGCTGGTGATCCGAAGCTCCAGCCGGAAAGACTAGATGAGCTGATCAGAGTCATTCTCGGCCGGTGACTGAAAGACCCACAACCACTTATACGAAGCAATCAACACATATTTAGCAGTAATACAGGTGTTGAATCCTCGATCATGTGACATGTTTGAATTGTTGGCTTGTTGCTAACAAAGAAGAGGATGCCATACTCTTTTTGTTATGCTGTATAGCAGCATCGGGGTTTCATTTGTTCGGGGAGAAGGGGACGCTGGGCGGCCACCTCGATTGCCGAAAGTTGTCTCATGCATGCATGAGGCCGTGGACAACGAGCGAATGCTGCTCGGAGAGAGTGTTCTTCCGGTAGTTCCGCACGGGCGGCCATCCCACCACGGGCCATGGCACCAGCTGCGCTCTACACAGATCGACATTTGATTTGACAACACCCGTTAAGCCTGGCGATTGCGGCTGCCCGTCCTAGGGGCATTCGGCCAGTGTGCGGCCTCTGGGATTGAGAGAGAGCGCCTCTACAGGATGGCCCGATGAGGTTGTTGAAGCCAAGTTGAGCGTGACCTCACTGCCGTCGTCGTCGTCGTCCATAGCCGCTGTGCGCTGCGTAGGGCACACTGAAGAGCAACGCGCAAGGGAGCTGATGCTGTTTGTTGGGTTCTGCAGAGGGGGCCGTAGGAGAGAGGTGCCGGTGGTGATGGAGGTTGCCGACCAGGCCGTGAGAGGAGGCGACAACAGCAATAGTGGTGCTGGAGGCTACCGGGGTGACGGCCTGAGTTTCAGAGAAGAAAGAAGAGGGGAGAAAAAAGAATAAGAAAGATGAGGGGTTAAATGCAAAGTGTTAGACACTGTCACTTCCACAGTGGCACTGCCACGTTGGATGAAATGCCCACGTGTCTGATATGGACCTACGGTGCACCACTTATCAAAGTTTATGGATCCAGAAATGCATTTTGCAAGTTCATGGACTTAAGTGACACCCGTTGACAAGTTCAGGGGACCTCTCATGCATTTAACTCAATAATGTATGTCTTTTGATTGAAGTGGTTACATTTAAGCAAAGGTCTACCAGTTGCAATCTGTTGAACTAATCACAAATCTACAGTTTGACCTTCGGTTGCTTTCTTCAGATGACATTTAATGCTAATGCATGACCGTGCAAATAAGGTATGGTAGTTCCATTTATCCTTGTTTTGTTTGCATATTTGCATTCATGGCATTATTTCAGTGTGACATTTATAGGATAAACAATAATAGTACTTTTATTTGGGGCAACTGCTGATTTACTCCACTAGCAGTCTAGCACTACTATATGTGCAACTGCAACTACATTGAATTAGAGAAGATTGTTGTGTGCCTGCTGCTGCTGCTGATTTACTCTATCAAGTACAGTCACATTCTCCATGTTAACTTAGTTTAACTTCCTTTAAAAAAATCCTTTTAAAAAACACTTAGTTTAACTGGAACCGTATACCATGCCCATTACGTTACGGGCAACATTGTCAGGTACGACTTCCACTCAGGTTCGCAGGATACAGTGGGGCACCATGGAGATGTGCTTGCCTGCATTGAGTTCTCTTTGATGGCTGGTAAGGAAGATAGTAAACAATCTTATATCTTGATGATTTTGTGTTTGATTCCCTGGTAGTTCTCTGCAGCACCAAATAGCTCTATAGAACTGTATGTACATGTTCTCATCACCTGGTTCTGAAGTATTTGTATTGACCTGACATTTTGTTTGCACAAAATATTTTATTGTACTCAATTTGAACACCAATGTTGTATCTGAGCCACCTCAAATGAGTTCACTGAAATGAGCTGGATAGATTGTTTAGGTGCTATAGCTTTAAGTTTATATTACCTTCTATTTATATTAGTACAGAATAGCTAAGGTCGGTTGCTGTGGGCTGTGGCAGCCGACATATTACAGCCCAAAACTAGTTTGACTAACTTAGCAGCTAAGCAAATATGTGTAGCGGAAACAAGAAGTATACTAACACAAGCTTTATTTTATAGTGCCACATTTAGAAAGGATTTTTTTTTTCATTCTTGAATCTTTATATGTAATATCACAACTGCCAAAGTTGATGTTTACTATTAGTATTGTGTTATATGTTTTTCAGGTCAGGTTATGACCGGCAGCCTGGACAAGAAGCTAATGCTTTGGGATTTAAAAACAAGAAATGTAAGCCCGAGTGGTACTATAATCTTAGATTCAGATGTGGCATCACTTTAGATATGCGGCATGTATATATTAGCTGCAGTTGCGAGAAATGTTTATTTTTATGACATGAGGAATCTAACAACACCAGTAAATGAAAAAGACTGTCCTCTGGAATATCCAATTCGATGCCTTCATGCTTCTCCAGAATGGAATGGTATATGCCTCCCTACCCCACCCACCACTATCTTCTTTTAATATTTCTCTGTTGTGTTTCTTCAAAGTAAGGTCTTGAGTCTGTCTTCATGAAAGCACTCACAAGAATCACTAAATTTTTGCAATATGTCATTTAACCAAGAATCACTAAATTTTTGCAATATGTCGTTTAACCTTTGTTGTTTAGCAAAAACTAGTGCATAGTTGATCATTTTGGGATCTTGTATGAGTAAATTGTTGGGTTTTAATCCTTACCTTCCAATTTTTAACAAGTGACACTGTAAAAAAACTGCACTCTTCATTCAGCCATAGATTTTAGATCCAGGTTTGACACCGTATTAAAGTCATTAATGCTCAGTCTTTGTTACTGTTCTTTTTTCTTAGCTTATGTCGCTGGCTCTGTGGATGGAGCTGTGGCATTGAAGTATCTTGATCGTGGAACCGATAGAGATTTGGGGTTAGTATTGATACTTTCTTCCATCTCTTTAGGTTATTATTATTATTTTTCTGTATCTTCCTATATATAATGATTAAAGACAGGGTATGGAAAGCTACCATGTTATGGAAGAAAAAAATTCTTATATATTGAGGCGATATATAAATTGCAGTTAGCATTTTAAGTATATTTTCTCATATATCCTATCATTTCTTATTAACCTGGTGAATTGTCTTTTTTTGCATTCATGTAAAACCTTTTCATACCTATAGTTGATTTCTATCCATATGTTTTGTAAAAGGACCAATCAGAACCAATATAAGCTACAGCCTCAAATTTGGACATCTTAGAGGTAGAGGGAACAAAGTAAGTCCCTGGAGAAAGTAATAGGCATCAAAGTGCAAGTGATCCTTTGTAATTCACTGGGATACCTGTGTTCTTGCAGATATGCATTTCGTTGTCATCCAAAATCCAGAAATGGAAGATCGAATCTGGTCCCTGTAAATTGCATCGCAGTTCATCCCTGGTAAGCTTTGTGTAAAGAAGTTCTATAGCTTTCTCAAAGTAAAGATAAATTCATATGTTTCTTGTCACCAGCAAGAAAACCTTTGTTACTGGAGATGATGAAGGATGCACTATTGCCTGGGATGCTCATTCGAAAAAGAAGCTGATTGAGGTGATATCAAGTTTTTCTTGAAAATATACATTTATTTCTTAATCTAAAAGAAGTTTTTGTGAGTGGTACTTAGATCATTTGAGTGAGACGACTCTACTCTCTACCCATATTCTCGCCTGCTAAATCGTGTGTTGTATACTCTCCTTTTTCATACTGATTATTTTGTACCTTCCAAAAAATACTATTACTATCTGTCCCACAGATTCAGTGGCAAAAGTTATTTCTTAGTAAGAAAAGGATGAAGCGCAACAACATTGACTCCCCACCCCCAAGTCTTTTCTCCTTGCGCTAATGTTTTCTTTTTGCACTCATTTAATTATTCACAAGTGCACTTTTTTGTTCTTTGATTTAGTGACTTAAAAATAACAGTGTTTACTATCACAGCTTCCAACCTATTTGGGCAGTGTGGCGTCAATGGCATACAACCATAATGGCCAACTTCTGGCAGTTGCCTCAAACTATTTTTTAGAAGTGGATAAAGAGTGAGTGGCTTCTAAACTTACAAGATGTTATTAATTTTACTCATTACCATCAGATTTATCTTGAATGTTGTAAAAAAGGCCACAAACCAACATAATGTATCCATGCTCACACTTGAATCATAGACAACTCCAGCAAGGGTGCCTTTGAGCTATCAGCTATTTAAATACCTAAATAGGCGCTTTAACACAAAAGTCACTTTTTCTTGCCACATGCAGGATATACTGCGCTCTTATTTTGTTGTCTTCAAGTCTAAGAATAGCACACCCCATTAGCCATTGCTTTCTCTTCTCCCTAAGCACCCATTCTTTTGTAAGCATCTCGCCTTCTACGTTGGGGTATGTGGTAGTATTTGACAGTGCAAGGGTAAAGTAATAATAACCATTTCTGAAAGAGTGATATCCTTCAATTGTTTGGCGAATCGTTGGCTTCAATTAAGTCATGGAATGCACAGAGCAGTTTTGTTTCTCGCTTCTGCAGCAGATTTTTGCATCCTAACTTAAAGCATTATATGTCTTCATCTCAAAGAAATCACCGAGCGTGTCTGATAATCATTTCATTTACTTCCACGTTTTCTTTGGCCAGGGTGAGCGACCACCACCAGATATTCATTGAAACTGAGGACTTCAAAGGCAAGTCCCGTGTGGGATAGAGCCTTCTAACAAAAAATGTTCTGTTGTATTCTTTGTCTAACATACATATTCAAGGTCACGAAGATGTGACATCATGTTGTATTATGTTGTATGACTAAGTTTTTTTTTTTTTTTTTTTTTGGAAAAATATAGTATGGCTAAGCATTAGTTGTATAGATTAGTTACATCTAGTCTAGCTAGTCTGAGACAGTTGTGGTGTGTTGTATCTCTTTGAGCTTTTTGAACCTGTATTGCTGTGCTGTTACCGCAGCCATCCCTGTTACGTTAGTAAACTGTCATTTGCTTTCAATAGAACCTGCGATGATCTCCTTTTCTTTTTTCTTAAAAAACTTTACTCCCTCGATTCTAATTATAGTTCACTTCAGTTTTGTATGTCATAATTTTCTTTGATCAAGTTTTCAGAAAGATTATAGTTCACTTCAGTTTTGTATAAGTCATAATTTTCTTTGATCAAGTTTTCAGAAAGATATATTAACATATACAAGTTCAATGAACTATTATATCTCATGAATAATTTAATGAAAATAATTCATTGCTGTAGATGGTTGTGTATTTTTCCTGAAAACTTTGTCAAAGTTAGAAACATTTTGACTTAGAATAAAACTAAAAAGTGACTTATATTTTGAAATGGATAGGTATAAATTAGTTGTTTTGGCCTCTTCACTGTTTTAATTTTTGTACTCGACAAGTGTTTGGTTGGTGGGTGAGGTTATCTTGGGGCTTGAGCTAGCGAGCTTTTTGGCTTGCTTTCTCAAAAGAGATTAAAGCTTGCTTTCTCAGGAGAGAGATCATGGTTCACCTGGGCTGGTAAGGTAAGGATCTATTTGGTTTGAACATAGGCAAGACATGAATCCTAGACGTCCAATTTTAGAGGTCTAAGGCTGAGATTGCTGCTGGCTGGGCTAGCCCTAAGTCTTGCTTGCACGGGCGAGGCAAGGCAAGCTTGCCAATGAACCAAACATGCCCTTAGACTTACACTAGAGTGTTTTTTAAGGGGCTATTGCGTTTCTACCCTTACTTTGAACCATAATTGTGATTTTATCCTTGCTTTTCGCCATGTTGCATTTTTACCCTTGCTTTGTAAAAACGAACACTCAGTCTACCCCTCTTTATAACTCTGTTAAATGTTTATGTAAAAAAAATAAAAAAAGGAAAAGACAGGCTTAGAAGTATCTAGGACAAAAATAACCTTCCACTCACCCGTGACTCTCCTATCCATCCCGATGCGGTCTCGGCCTTCTATCGCGGGCGCAGCGCTTCAAGGTTTCGGCAAGGCGGCTCGGTGGGAACGAGCTCGGCTCGTGGTCAGTGGTCATATGGCCCTTGCCTTGTGGCGGCAAGTGGTGGAGGGCCCCTCGTGGTGTGACAGCGAGAAAGTCTGGTTGGCTGACTCACAGACTCAGGGCGGCATGGCGGGCATGGCGGCCATGCGCGACCATCTGGGGCGACGGAGGAGGCTGGACGGGGGCGTCTCTGGTGGCGCTGCGGTGGGGCATGCGCGACGGGAGGGGCGTCTGGGCGACGCTGCATTTGGGCGGGCTGGCTGGCTCTGGCATTGCCTAGGGTTTCTGGGCAACCGCTTAGGTTTGGGCTGCTGCAGAAGACCTGGCAGGGCTTCGACAAGGGCGCCGCAGGGTCGGCCGTGACCATGGAGCGGAGAGGATGGCATGTCCAGAGCCACGGAGTTGGTGTCTAGGTACAAAATTTCCTCCTCTGTGAATGTGTATTGGCCAATTGTGGATTGAATTAATCTCATTCTTCAGGCAATTACGCTAATTTGGTTTCAATTGCTATGATTTGTAGGCAAAATCACATGAATTTGAATCTGGTAGTTAGGGTTATGTCATTTTTCAGTTTGCCTGATGGGGGACCAAAAAACATGGCAACAGGGTAGAATCTTGCCTACTCAAGTTGTTGACATGCATAGCTTCAATGTTCTGCAACTAGTTTATTTCATAGCTGAGCATTACTTGTGGGTTCAAAATAGTATATAACTCTATGGCGTCCATTCAAGGGTATTGAGATTAAAACTGATGAGCAGTTGTTTGATCTCAATAAAGACAAGGGATTGGTGCACATTAATGCCCAAATTAATGACTTTGAGGGTCATTTGCAGTTTTCACCAACAAAACATAGGTGCCACCCTTCTGTGAGGAATAGAGTGCCCACCAATGAGACAAACACTGAGAGACCCACATCCACAAAGGAGAAAGAGAGAGCCACAAAAAAAAGAGAGCCATCAAGAAAAAGAGAGACACCAAGTCCAAAGAAAAAGGGTAGAGGAAGAGGAAGAGGAAGTGCAAGTGCTGCAAGTGCAAGTGAAGCACCTGGAACTGAAGGAGCAGAAGGGGCTAGAACACAAGGAAGAGGAAGAGAAAGAGGAAGAGGAGGGAGGTTGGCTGCATTGTTAGGGATTGTGTGATTATGACAATGAACATGTAATATCTCACTATTAGCTACTGCTTTTGTTGGACTTGTATGTTGATGATGGATTGTTGGTTATGTATGTTGGATGATGGATGTTTATGTTGGATGATGGTTGCTGCGCTTTTGCTACACATACTTGTGATGTGATATTATATATATATATTGGGCCCCATATATATTTGCCTGTTATGTGCAATTATATGTAACAAGTTGTACAATGATGCTGCCATTTTTTTAAGAAAATAGGGGTAAAATCACAATGAACTCAGAAAAGTAAGGATATTTTTGCAAGGGCAAAGTTGTCCTTGGCAAGCCCATTTAACCCCGTTAGCTGCTGTTAACAGAGTATGGGTAGACTGAGTGTTCGTTTTTACAAAGCGAGAGTAAAAATGCAACATGGCGAAAAGCGAGGGTAAAATCATAATTGGGGTTCAAAGTAAGGGTAGAAACACAATAACCTCTTTTTTTAATGAACATGCTAGAGATTATGGTTGCGCTTAAAAAAATAGGAGTCGAAGCTAAGCTATGAATTATGCCTTGTTTAGAAAAAGATGGCCGGTAGCAGGACAATTTCATAAAAGAATATTATTTTCTAGAGTCTCTCCATCGTTTCGGACTTTTTTGGGCATCCGCATCCGGCAGAAGTATTAAATGTAGGTAAAAAATGTTTTCAGCGATGAAAATACAGGCCGTGACATTGCCTTGTATGGGGAAGGGACGGATTCTTCTCACGCTTGTTTAGTTGGGACCCAATGATCGAATAAAGTTTTTGTCGAATAAAGCATTAAGCGTAGACGAAAATAAAAACTAATTGCGGTTTGGTGGGAAAAATTGACGATCTTTGAGCATAAAGTCCATGTTATGAATTATGATTCTTGTGCTGAATCATAGAAAAAAAAAAGATGGCCGGTAGCAGGACAGTCGCATAAAAGGAATATTATGTTGTCTAGAGTCTTTGTCGCGTTTCGGACTTTCCGGTGCAGTGGGCATCCGCATCCGGCAGAAGTGCATTGGGGGCTGGCCCGGGCGTGCGGCAAACTGCTGTTTTCAGCGATGAAAATTCCAGGCCGTGACGTTGCCTTGTCGCATGTGGAAGGGATTGGATTGTTCTCAGTTGTGTTTGTGTAGGTTGCATAGGGAATGGATTGGATTGTCTGAGCTCTGTTGCTCTCTTTATATAAGTGCGTGTTTAATTGGAGGAAGTTTCTGAATATCTTATTTACACAAATTTATGATATTGCCTTGTGAAACTTGTGATTAGCTACTTATTTTCTGGCTGATAAGTGCGACCACAAAAGACTCGTCTCATAATTTCCCAGTTGGGCTGCAGATTTGGTTTTTTTAAATCACATTTAATGTTACATGGCACGTATCGCGTTTTATTCGATTCGATTGTGATGAAATGTAGACTTTTTTGAGTTTGGTTTGGAACTAAATATGGGCTAAAGGATTATGTACCTCTGAATATCTTATTTACACAAATTTATGATATTGCCTTGTGAAACTTGTGATTAGCTACTTATTTTCTGGCTGATAAGTGCGACCACAAAAGACTCACAAGTCACAACTCACAGGTCAGCTCTTGTACAGAATCAGATATTTGCATGCTTCTCCGATACGCAATCTCACAGAAGATAATGGGCGGCTTCTCCGTGCCGCGAAAAGCCGGTGGTGCACCGGCACCGGCACCAAATTCCCGGAAGCGTCCAAGTCAAGAAACGTGCCGCCAGCCGCCACTGACGACGCACGGACGCCGCCGCTGACGTCGCGACGAAAGGGAGGCCCGGACGGGCCGCCGCACTGGGCTGCGCCGTGAAGCCCACGACCGGCACGCGCAGCCACGCCAGCGTCGCCGCATATAGGACTCGCGTGCTGCGCCCGTGCGGAACCCTAGTCAGCCGCTGCGTCGCCCCCTTCTCCCACCTT